GTTGGTGCTTGTGGCAGCTCCAGTGGCTTCTCTCTAGGCCGTCACCTTCCAGCAGTGCTGCCAGTCTGTTGGAGGGCTCAGTTCTTTCCCTTTCTCCGTGAGAAGCTGATTCACGAGGCAGTTACTGAAACTGCTGGGTTATACCATGTTCTAGATCTAATGTCAGGGAAACAGTGAACAAAAACCCGGTGTTGGGATTCTTAGATCGCTCAGTTCCAACCCAGCAGAAGCAGGTTCTGGAATGCAGCCACAGTTACAGGAAGGTGGGAAATGAGCCCTTCTGCCAGATGAAAGATTTACTCAAGTGGTTAGGTTTTCTTTTTGTGGACATTACACTTCTCGAAGGACTGACTGAAATTGATGATTGTAAAAATTACAAAAACTAGAGTTTAATAAATCAGTGATTGAATCTAGTTATAACTTGGCTGGGATTTTTAGCAAGCCATGCATTGTGGAATTATAGATACCCTGCTCTATCCAGAGAGTATGAGATAAAATCATACAATGAAGAGGGGTCTGTCATACCAGAAGCTTGCAAAGATCCATGATCATTCAGTTAATAAGGCTCATATTCAAACCTTCTAGTTTTTGCCTTACCTAGAACCAAACTAAGGGGTTGCAGCACACTGGGGAATATCAAGAGGCTCAACTGCACCTAGATTACCTAAGAAAAAAATGTGACTGGGCAGCTCCTACAGACAAGTAGCTTCAAGTAGCCCTGGAGCAGGAAGCAGCTTGAACTTGCCTTGGTGACTTTACTTACAGATTTGCTGTGGAGAAAAGATAAAAGCAGTCCTTTATGCTCCCTGAATAGATTGGTCTTCCAGGACCAAGAGCCTGATACTATCGGGTGCTTCAGCAGAGAGGTCCATACACCTGTTCCATGGAAATTAAAGGAAAAAATTCCTATAGATTTCAGTGGTTCAGGATATGAACATCTCTATTCAAACCTTAACTTAAATACACCCTTAAATGGTAACACGTTTGAAATAATTGAACAAGACAATCCTGGGTAACTCATCAGTCCCTCTATTATTCTTTCCAGAGCTGCACAGCAGCTATTTACTCAATTTGATTTGTTTTAATTTTTTTTTTTCATTCAGCATGTTTTATGCATTAGTATCAGAAAAGCTTGTCTTTCTCCTGGCAAATGTTACTGCAAGTTGTCTGGCAGGGAGGTGATATTATGTAGATTTATTTATTCAGAGTGTAATTTGCATAAATGAAAAATGGAAATAGAGCAGTTTTTTCCAAATTAGAGCCTTTTTTTTTTCCTTCAAAGTGAAACAAATATGTGTGTAGTACACTAGTTCTGATTTATGGCCTTTTTTAGGGGAATTATTGGTAATTTCAATGCCTAGGCCCCTTTTATTCAACTTGGATTTTTTAATGGCTGAAAGCATCTTCTGAGGAAAAGATTAAGAAGAGAAAAAGGAACGGATTGGAAATGAATTTGCTTATGAGCAGTTAAAGGTGTCATGCTGGGAAAAAAAATAAAAAATCTCAGAGCCAGGCTAAGGATTTTAGACACCCTGGATAAACTGTTGGTTTGATTTGGAGGTCTGCGTGGACCCTGCCTATTCAGAGGAACCTTTTGCTGCAAAGAAAATTGACTCTGTGTTTGATTCAGCGGGGCTCATCGACATCATGGGAATCCCTTCAGAGTTTGTGTTCTGTGTCTCAGGATAGCACTGCACCTCATGCTGTAGGTTTTTGGTTAAATTGGAGGGGAAAAAAGCATGTCCTGTGTTTGATGCATCTGGAAGTAAGGAATGGGTCAGCCCACTTCTTTCAATAGTTCTATGTGGCTCTGGACCTGTGGCGTTATTCCTGAGGTCAGTGCCTTTGGTTTGCCACTATTTATTTACTCATGTCTGCAGAGGACCTCTTCTCTCCAGCTGCTCCATCATTCGCCAGCACGTCCTGGTAGCCCACCCTGCTCCCACAGCCCATCGCTTCTCACAGTTGACCCTCACTGAGGTCAGGATGCGATTAGGTGGCTGGAGATCATAAGGAATATTAATCACAAGGAACACTTAGATGTTGCTTTACAGAGTTCTTTATGTGAAATACGCTGTGGCAAGATATCGGGTTACCAGTGGCTGAAAAAGAAACAGTTCTCTCTTTACCCTTGACAGTCAAAAGAAAGTTTGATTTATTTTCTCATTTTCAGTTAGTCTAAAGGCAGCTGGGCAGTATTGCTACAAAGCTCTAGCTGTGTGTCACTGTAATAGGGGCAATATGTTTGTTCACTTCTGCTCTCTTCCTCTGTCTAATTGTTCTATTGTCTTTCTGTTTTCTCTCCACATTTGGGCTGACAAAACGTCTCCTTGCGTTTAGCCCTCTAGCCAAAACTTAACAGGCTCCTAATCAAGAACTAACACCACCAGCAGGCTATTTCCTGTCTTTGTTTACCATTCTGGGTATCATCTTTCTTTCCTCTCAGAAAATTTTCACCAGTATTTTCCTTTGCATCTTCTTCCATACAGGGTGCAGGAAGCTCCTTATATATTGTTCCCATTTCATTTTCTGACCATTTAATCTCTGGCCTCCCAGCTCTACATCCTGGAAAAGTAGCAGATGCACCCAGAACCAGATTTTGAAAAGTCAGGTAATTCTGGGATACTTATATATTCCATGTGGTTATATCTGCAGAATGCTCATTATCAAGCCTTAATGCAAATTGTATTAATATTTTGAACATATGAGGGTTAATTACAATGGGATGAGTTACTAGGCACTGTTCACCATGACTTGCATTTCCATGCAAATACTGAGACTGGTAGTGTACAATTCAGTTGCCTAATCTAACATTGGTTGAGGTGCTCTAAAACCACAGGACTGCCTGATGTCATCTGGGAGACCCTGGCCCTTCCCACTGGCAGTTGGAGATGAGGGAAAATACTCCAGGCTTTCTAAAATGGTACCAGCTGCATTTGTTTAAGCAACTAAAGTGCACTCCTGCCGTATGCTGGAATAACTGCTATAGTGCGTAAGTATCTTTTTCATGATATTGCACAACGGCCTTCACTTATTCCTGCCAAGTCTATCCTGAGAATACTACACTGTGGTAACCTCAACATCAGATATTCACTAGATAGGTTAGCATGAATCATTAGGAATCAAGTGAGCAGAGTAGGTCTTTTTTTCTATGTAAATCATCGTTCTACTTTCACGTATCTACATAGTGGCTAAGGTGCAGCCAAGATGAAATTCAGCCCAAATAAAATCAAATATTACAGCTTAGGAAGGATTACCAAGCATTATTTCTGATGTTTTGATAGTAAGCAGGGCTACTCCTCATTAGCAGTCCTGACAAGTTGAAGGATTTATTGATACCTCAGGGCCAGCATGGCACGTGAGCTGGACCACTGCGTTGCCCGTCCCGGCTCCCGCACAGGCAGAGGGGCTGCAAGGCCACCTGGGCTGGAGAAGCAGATCGTGGCACCTCTGGCACCTCCCAAAGCATTACTTTTTTTGTTCAGAAACCCACAGAGCCCCAAAGCTCTTCCTTATCTGTCCCACAAAGCAGATGATACCTTCTTCCTCAGAGCTCCTGTTAACCTGTCATGTCTCCTTCAGCAAGCACAGAGATTTTGATGAACCATCCCACAGAAACGAATGAAGAAATGCTTTGCCACTTGCAGAGGTGCCAATTAATTTCTTTTTAAATGAGGCCACTCTTGAGAGCTTAATCAAAGTCAGCTCTTTAGCTCAGATTACCAAGTGAAGTTGATGCTGTATGTCAAATCAGAACCATGAGGAGCTATTGGTTCAAGTCCTGATCTTACTCCAGCTCCTTCCACACAAGTGCAGCAGCCCAGGGCAGACCCTGGGCCTTGGTACATACAGCCATGCAGAACTGGTAGTCCTTTTTGTATCTGTTAAGTAGTACTTTATTTTGAATGGTATTTTAAGGAAAACCCTAGAAAACAGACTCTCTCTGTTCCTGACTTGCTTTCCAAAACACATAAATCTTTTGTAGCTTTAATTCTTAGCCCCATAGCTAATACGGTAGCACCAGTGACAGCTGGAATGCTTATAAAAATAGCATCAGAGTAAATGGTGAGCATAAGTCAAACTGATCTACAAAACCAAGGTTTTACAGAGTGTATCTATAAAATCAATTTGTTTATGTTGTATATGTATGAATAAACTAATGTGTTTATGTATATAGTACTTACTAAACTACAACAGGTAAACTATACAATCAAGCAGGCACATATTATACTACTGCAGTGCTAATTATTATTCTAACATGCAAAGTAAATTAAAAGTAGGTAGAATTACCTGCAGCAGTATATTACAGCAAAAAGTTAGATTTGAGTACATCATTACTGAGGTTGACTGAGAAAGAAAGTAAAAAGATCTAAACTGATTGTCATGTGAAGGAGTGCATTAGGAAACAGCTCTTTCAGTTTTACTGTTTCTGGCTGTATCTTTTGTAATATACAACAGGGGAGTTTTTTCTGTGATTTGCTTTTAAGGCTTTAGCGCAATCAAAAGCTGGAGGTATTGTAAAGAAAATCTGCAAATAGCATGAAAATGTCTTGTGGTGACATTCTCATTCAGGCTCTGGGCCTGATTTTGAAAGGTCCTGAACACCCAGAGATGCCATTGCTAAGCACTTCTGCAGATCAGATCTTTGAGGTCTGAAAGATTGTTTTATAATCTTGTTTTCATGCTCTTGCAAACCTACAAAGTCATTTTTTCCCCATGTAGTAGCACAGATTTTATTAAAACCATTCAGAACAAATATCTATGTTTTAAGGCAACAGTTTTGTGCTGACTGGTAATATACATGACTTTAGTCAGTAGAACAATTTCCCTTCTTTCAGGAAACTGATAATATATTTAAAGTTAAGACAACATTAATTATTTTTAAAAAGCATAGTCTCTGCAGTGCTGGGACTTTTAGATCCTCTCCATTGCATCATTCTGCCTGGCTAAGGCACCATATTCACAGAAGTTTTTGCACATTAATCGCAAATGATTTATAGACCATATAAAAAGTCAGCACCTCAAAAAAAACCCTAAAAACCAACAACAAAAAAAAATTCTGTTCTTTGTCTTTCATTGCCTTGTAATCTACAGGGAAAAGTCCTTATTTGCCATTGTGTCTTCCCTCAGAAGGGTTTGAGGTGACTGCAGTCTGAAGTACAACCAAAACAAACCAAGAAGGTTTGAAATTGTATGTTCAGTGTTTATGCAGACTGTATGTAAGCCACAAGGAAAAATAAATTTAAACAATCACATGCAGATCTGAGAGATGCAACTGAAGCAATAGCTCCTCATTTCCCATAAATATGGCTACATTTAGAATTTTATTTCCCGACTGGTTATCACACACCTGGTTTCTTGGCACAGTGTAACTGAATACATCCAAACGCCCGGCTCTTGATTTGTGTAAGTTCAAGCCCAAAGCTACCAAAAAAAAAAAAGGGGGGGGGAAATGCATAAACTTTTTAATGCTGAAAGAGAGAGATCAGCACATCTCACCTATGCTGTCAGATATTCAGAATTTATGAGATATATAAGACTATTTAGAAACATCTGATTTTGTTAGTCTGCTAATGATCTTAAGGATCTCCAGATATTCACCAAGGACTGGTGGCAGCTGCCTGTTGGGTATCATGGGAAACTGTCTTCTCATAAAAGCACAAAGCAAGGAGCAGTGAGCTTTTAGTTCTGCATGGAACCAAACCTTATATACTGAAGTCCAAGTTCTTTGAAATACTTCAAGGTAGGTTTCAGCTATCTGATGGTCACAGAACAAATCCAGGTTCCTCAAAATTTGGCTCAGAGTACTCACAATCCTTTAACAGTACTGGTTTTACGGTTCTTCTTAAGGTGATTCCACCTTCTCTGCATTTTCAGTGACTTTCAGAAATGCCCCTATAATCTAGATATTTTTCTTCAGCATATGAAATGCTGCTTTGATTGACAGAATCATACAACCTACTTAATTTATTTTAAACAAAAGGAAAATCCAATATATTTGAGCCAGAACTAAAAACAAACAAAAACTATGTGTACAAATTTGTTACAGCAATGTGGCTTTATTATTTTTAATTTTTATTCATATGGGTATTTGTGTATGATACATACATATGTTCTATGCTATATACATGCTGCAGATGGTCCTTTGGAGTTTTGAGTAAACTTATTTAAAAAGCACATTTGAAACAATTCTTGCAAAGAAATCTTGAATCATACATTATAAATAATGTTTTTCAAATTATAAATTGTAATTTTCTTTTATGGCTGTTACAAATTTATATTAAAGCGTCACTGAATTGGACAATTTTTCAGTAGAGTTTGCTTAATGTTAATCTATTCATTTGGGGGTAAATGAAGAGTTTAATGGTGAAGTGATGCAACTAGAATATAGTCTGAAGTGGTGTGTTAGGTTTATCAATCAGTGAAAATTGTGCACTTGAGTGTAAAAGCGCATGTCTATCCGTATGATTCTTGCTACCTCAGTTAATTGAAACCCTTTTTTCCACCCTATTATCAATACTTGAAAAATAGCTCCAACCACATCTATTAACCAGTGTCTTAATAGAGGCTTTATCAGCTCCATATAAATTGCACGTATTTCGCCAGAAAGCAATTTCACTAATATAAGGGTCAGTTCTCTGGTTCACTGGAGATGTTCACTCAGGAGGTGTTGGGGCATGACTGGAAGGATCACTGGAGATGGATAGAGCTCTGGGCCTGGTCTTCAATCTGCTGAAACACTGTACAAGGTTGGAGGTCCAATCTGATTGGCACTCTCATTCTGCATCAATTTTAACAAAAGAAAGTATGAGCACAATGAAAATTAGTTAGACACCACTACTTCCCACTAGGAAATCTAAAAAGTAATAGAAATCTGTAGTTTTCAATTTCCCATAAAATGTTTTTTAAAATCTAGAGCCAGGATAGCACAATTCTGCACCAGTACGGAGATG